GAGCCGATAAATGTACTTCTAAACGATAATACTTGGAAGTATCTTGAATTATTTATTGCTTTCAAAGACACTGCTTCATTATTCATAACCCAAAGTAAATAAATATGGTATATCATCTTCCTTCAAAATTTACACTACCTGATGTATCTTTGATTTTGCAGCTTCTATTAAAACTCCACTTTCAGCTTTATGATTAGATCCATCTTTGTTGGAGTTATTACCAGTCTGTAGGGTGATAAAACAAAGTTTACAAAAATTAAATATTTTTTACCAGAATTTAAATCAGAGATTTCCAATTGAGCTAATCTAAATCACCCAGGGAACATTTTCAAAAAGAAGAATCCCAGGTCCTACTACCAGAAATTAAGGTTTAGTAGTCTAAATGGGTGATAGGAAACTCTTACTTACGAGAAGCTCACAGCTAAGCATAACAATGGGCTTGTTTTCTTTTTTTTGAGACAGAGTCTCAAGCTGTCACACTGGGTAGAGTGCTGTGACATCACAGCTCACAGTAACCTCCAACTCTTGGGCTTAAGTGATTCTCTTGCCTCAGCCTTCCAAGTAGCCGGGACTACAGGCGTCCACCACAACGGCCGGCTATTTTTTTGTTGTTGTTGCAGTTGTCATTGTTGTTTAGCTGGCCTCAGCTGGGCTTGAACCCGCTAGCCTCAGTACATGTGACTGGTGCTATAACCACTGTGCTATGGGCATCAAGCCAACAATGGGCTTGTTAAGCTCTTTATCTAACTAGTAATTTGGCATCTTTCAAGGCCCAAATCAAACTTCCAAATTCCTCTGAAACATTCCCTAACCCTATCCATGAACAGATGTTTCTCAGTCTACCTATTCCCAGAGCTGAGATCTTTGAAAGCAAGAACTTCCAACAGTTTCATTTTTGTCACATTAGGAGCTAGCAGACTACTTTAGAACCTGGCAAAGCACATAAGCATCTGCTGAACTAAATCACATTTCATCAACTATTACAAGTACTGAATACAAAAGAAATGCATTACTACATAACATACAAAAACAATGAATGGTAACGCTATTCAACGGAAATCCTTTATATGTAGATACTTAAGTTGAAAAAAGTAGTGCTAGATGTGTATTTTATTTTTTGCAGTTTTTTTTTTTTTTGGCTGGGGCCAGGTTTGAACCTGCC